TGAAGGTTTGCAAATGCTTTGAAGATGTGTTTTTCAAGGAGGGAGAACAATTGACATTCTCGAATCAAATCAAACACCAAATAAGGACAACTGACGACAAACCCATTTTTACAAAATCATACAGGTACCCTTACATACACAAAGAGGAAATACGCAAACAAATCGATAAAATGTTGCAACAAGGTGTAATTAGAAGAAGTTTTTCACCATGGAGTGCTCCTATATGGATCGTACCAAAAAAATTAGACTCGAGCAATATACAAAAATGGAGACTTGTTATAGATTATCGCAAATTAAACGAGAAAACTGTTTCTGATAAATATCCCATACCCAACATAACTGACATATTAGATAAATTGGGGAGAAGTCTCTACTTCACAACTTTAGATTTAGCTAGCGGTTTTCACCAGATCGAAATGCACCCAAAAGATATTGGTAAAACAGCATTTTCTGTCGATAGAGGTCACTATGAATTCGTAAGGATGCCTTTTGGATTAAAAAATGCTCCATCCACTTTCCAAAGGGTAATGGACAATGTATTAAATGACTTGATCGGGACAGTCTGCCTTGTATATTTAGATGACATAGTTATATATTCAACTTCCTTAGAGGAGCACATACAACACTTGAAAAAAGTACTCGGTAAATTACGTACAGCCAATCTTAAGATACAACTGGACAAATCAGAATTCCTAAAGAAAGAATGTTCTTTTCTCGGACATGTTATTTCCACTGATGGTATTAAACCCAACCCTGATAAAATTCATGCCATAAAAGCTTTCCCCGTACCAAAAACACAAAAACAAATAAAATCATTTTTAGGACTACTAGGTTATTACAGGAAATTTATTCAAGATTTCTCGAAATTAACGAAACCCCTCACAGAATGTCTTAAGAAAGGGAGAAAAATAATATTAAACGAGAGATATTTGAACACATTTGCTACTTGCAAAAATCTTTTAATGAACGACCCACTGCTCCAATATCCTGACTTTTCAAAACCATTTAATTTAACCACCGACGCTAGCGACTTTGCTTTAGGAGCAATACTTTCCCAAGGACCAATAGGTAGTGACAAGCCTATATGTTACGCAAGTCGTACATTATCGAATAGCGAAATAAATTACTCGACGATAGAAAAAGAATTACTTGCTATCGTATGGGCGACAAAATATTTCAGGCCATACCTTTTTGGAAGGAAATTTAAAATAATTACCGACCATAGGCCCCTTACATGGATCATGAGTCTAAAAGAACCAAATTCAAAATTAATCCGCTGGAGATTAAAACTAGAAGAATATGACTATGAAATTATCTACAAAAAAGGAAAATTAAATACTAACGCAGACGCACTAAGTCGTATTAAATTAGACAATCTATCTGTAAATGAACATGTCGATATAAACACTAATTCAGTTGATAACATCTCAAACCATGGTACACAAGGAACAACAATCCATTCCTCCGACGAAAATGTTGACGATGGAATACCGATATCAGAAAGACCAATTAACGAATTTAATATTCAAATTATATTTCAAACTCAAATCGGTGGCTCACCAATAACCTTAGAAACAATATTTAAAAATAAAATACGCAAGACTATACGTAGAGAAAAGTACGACGAACAAACATTGACTAACATTTTCCAAAATTATATAGCACCAAATAAAGTCTCTGCGCTTATGGCAGATGACGATACATTTAAATTAATTCAAAGCACCTACTCAAAATACTTTGCAAACAGCAAACTATTTAAGTTAGTACGATGCATGGACATTCTACAAGACATAAGAACCATTGATGAGCAAGACAAAATAATTAATGAATACCATATGAACCATAACCATAGAGGTATTCAAGAGACATATGCACACTTAAAACGAGAGTACTACTTCCCTTTCATGAAAAACAAAATACAAAATTGTATTAATCATTGTCATACATGCCAAACTTTAAAATATGACAGGAAACCACCAAAACCCAAATTTCAAAAACCTGAAATTCCCGAAAAACCACTGGATATTATCCACACAGATATCTATTGTATAAACAAGCGTAATATACTTACCATCATAGACAAATTTTCTAAATTTGCAGCCGCTTACTCTTTAGACTCTAGGAATAGCCTATCAATTCTGAAAAGTTTCAAACATTTCATAAGCCTACACGGCATACCCAAGAAAATTGTTTGTGATCAGGGCGCTGAATTTAATGCATCCATTATAAAAGATTTTTGTAAAATGCATCAGATAACCTTACATTATACATCATTTCATCAAAGTACAGGAAACTCTCCCGTAGAAAGATTACATTCAACCATTACCGAGACCTACAGAATAGTTTACGAAAAGTATAAGTCATCAGAAATACCACTAAATCACGACGAAATACTATTAGAAGTCATTTTTACCTATAACAACGCAATCCATAGTGCTACAAATTTAACCCCATTTGAACTCTTCTATGGTAGGACTTATAACTTCGAAAAGACATTAAGCTATAACTCTGAACATGACTACTTAAATAGACTACAAGAATTTCAAAATGACTTACACAAAATTATTAAAGATAAATTATCCATGGACACTGACAAACGTATAAAAAAACTAAACGCAAATAGGGAAGAACCAGAAGATTTAACTGAAAACCAGACAATATACAGAAGGGAATCAGGGAGGAACAAAATGACCCCTCGCTTCTCAAAGAGGGTAGTCAAGGAAAACAAGAAAGTGACGCTGATAACGTCAAATAACCAAAAACTACATAAAGCCAAAATTAAAAGAAAACGTCTTACATAAACTGACTTCTATTTGTCTTTTAGGTTCGTACCTGTACAATCCGACGTCACAATAACAAACATAACGCAGACTCAGGGACTTATACCACTACAACTGACAGCATATTATAACGACACAAACATAATATTTGACATACAAATTCCTATAATTTCTAATGAACTATTTAAATTATTACACATAATCAAAACCCCCATAAATAACACCTTAGAAATAATAACCGGTGAATACGCTTTAATAAACAATGATAACCTTTATCTTTTCGACAACCGATGCAAACAAATAGAACAAAAATTTTACTGCAACTATGAAACTCAATACGAAAGAAATAGAGATTGCCTAAAATCAATTTTGCTTAGAGAAGAAACGGTGGCATGTCACCTTAGAGACATAGGATTAACTACGGACATAATATATCCAGAACCAAATTACCTAGTGCCTATAAACCCTCCAATAGGAAACATAACCACAGTATGTAACAACGTAACTAAGAGTCTACCAATCAAGTCTTCCTCTGTTATTAATTTTAATGAATGCAAAATCTTATTTAATAATGTCTGGTATACAGATAAACCGAATATTCACCAAGAAAACATTAGCACAATAACCTTCCAAACTAGCTTCTCAAACAATATTACAACACTCTCCATAAGAGACGAACTAACATTACCCAAACTAGATCAATACAGATTCCAAAATAAAGCAAATATCGAATTTCTTCAAACAGACTCTGACAATTACAAAACAATTTCTTATTCCGCATTTGGTATAATTAGTTCTATAATCATAATATTATCAATAATATTAGTAATAAGAAAGCCTATAAAATTAATCTACTCCATAACCCACAACAATAATGAAGTTCTGGCCACAAATGATCCGAAGCCCCTTTGGCCCTCACTTCATTCTGGAGAGGGAGGAGTTACCTACAGCCACCAATAAACAACATTATTATTAAGTTCATTATTTTCAACCACAACCTCATTTATTAATAACATCATTATTATTAACACCATTATTATTAACATCATTATTATTAACATCATTATTATTAATATCATTATTATTAACATCATTATTAGTTACAACATTGTCATAAACACCAAAGAGCTAACACCAATATTGTTGACATTATTTCGTCAGCAATAATTCTCCACTTCAACATCACAATAACAACACTAGTAATAAAACTACGACGGAAATAACCCAAAAAGAAATGTTTACTTTTACTGTACCCAATACAAATTTTTAGCTTAAGTATTTTTCTTGATAGCTCTAGATTTTATGTTTCTTTGTTCTTTGTTAACTCTAAGAAAAATCAATAATTGTAAAATCACTTAAATATAAGAATTTTTTTGAATAAAGAATCAGTTGTATTTGGCATCTAAAACAGAATAATTCTTGTTTTCTTATTTTTCGGTTGTACGGAAGTTAACTCGCGTGCACCCTACGATCGGTCAATACGACTTTTTAGTAAAGTGTTAAAATTGATATTTTTCGTGCGGAATTTGAAATTTTTAATTAATTTTGGAGATTTTGTTCGAAAATTTTATTTGTTGGTCAATATTTTTTGAAAAAACACGCTACATTCGGTAGTATAGTTGCCTAAATTGTAGGTAATTTTAGATATAAAATTTGAAAAATCTCTATATTTTCGTTAGAAAATAGTACAAATTAAAATATTTTAGATTTTTTGTGCGCGAAAATACGGTTTTTTGGAAAATTACCGGTAGAATATACAATTTTTGGAAAATTTGATAATTTGAATATATATTTATTGATATATTTTTTGAATATTTTATATTTATTTGCTGATTTGCTCACCTTTTTCGTGTTACCTTTTTATCGGTTGTTAAATATCTCATTGGAGATTATAATTTTGAAATTTATAGTTCAAATTTTGATTTTTTCACTATTGTGTGAGAGGTTCAAGGCAATAATTTCGCGGAAGTTTTCAAGTTTTTGGCCCTATAGTGCGGTTTTGGTAAATTCTTGGCATCTTTCGGTACGTTCCTTGAACATTTAACAAATTTGGTCGATTTTTTTTGGAAATTTTTGAGTTTGTTGATAATTTTGCCTTGTTGCTCCTTCGTATATTGTGCGAAGTAGAATTGGTTTTCGGTTAATTTTTTTATAGCAAATCGTGCTTGAGTTGTTTTTCTCTTACTTATTGTAGTAGAGACTTGGTAAAAACCTTTCAAAATGCCTTTGACTCCAATTGATATGTTTATCAGAGCTTCGGATGCTCTCGTAAAGTTTAACGCTAGCTTTGAGTCTATGAGTGATGAGGAATTGGATTTCCAGTATTTAAAATCCCAAATGAATGGATTAGAGAACTTGTGGGAAAGAGTGCAGGAAAAATTTGAAAAAGGCTGTGATTTTATGATGACGTCTGTAGAGACGTCAAAAGAAGAAATAGATGCTGTCGATCAAAAGTATCATGCATCTTTTCAACTGTATCTGCGATGCCAGGCTGCAATTAATAGGAAGTTAGATCAATTTAAAAGGACTCGTTCTTCTTCTATTAATTCAAGCGTTAGTGGTTCTGTAGCGTCTTTGTTAGAAACCCCGGGTGAAACCCTACAAAAATCACCGAATCCAATTATGCCGAAAACGTCGGTTGAAACGCGAACCCAATTGAATGTTTCGAATCAGGCTTCGCTCGAAAATCCTTCCCAAATTCAGACTCCGCTTACCTCTATTGTGGGGAATAGTAGTGCGAGTTTTCGAACTTTAGATTATGTTTCAAACTCGGATGTGGTACATAATCTAGCTTTGCCGCCTTGTGACACAGATGTTTTTGAAGGCGATTTCCACTCATGGCCCACCTTTAGGGATTTGTTTACCGCTGTGTACATTAATAATGCTCGTCTAAGCGACATTGAAAGACTTTGTCATTTGGTCCGGAAGACGACAGGGGAAGCTCGCGAGATAGTGTCAAAGTTTCCACTAACTAATCGTAGTTTCGCGCCGGCTTGGAAGGCTTTGATCGAAACTTATGACAATCCCCGGCTTCTTGTTCACAATCAATTGAAGGTTTTATTCGATATTCCTGTTCTCTATAGTGAGACTAGTTCAGGATTAAAGACGATCCAACGCGGTATAAATGGTTTTTTAACTTCGATGGCAATTTATGACGTCAAAACTGAAAAATGGGATCCATTTATTGTGTTTTTGTGTCTTCAACGACTGCCAAAAATAACTCAGACCCTTTGGGAGCAAAGTGTAAAGGATAAATCCTCTCTTTCGTCTTGGAAGGACTTGGATGCTTTTCTCACTGAGAGAATTCGTACGCTCATGTGTCTTCATGACATGCGTGGCACCGATCAGTCTAAACGGTTTTGTAATAGACAAGTTCAAGCGCATCATTCGCATATTAATGTCTTAGGATCGCCTTCTTCTCCCCGTGCTTCGAAAAGTTTAAATTGTGTCATTTGTCGAAATCAACGTCATAAATTGTATGACTGTCCCCGTTTTAAGAGCTTGAAATCCGGTGATAGGTATAAAGTTATGAAACGCCATCACCTTTGTATAAATTGTCTTCGTTATGGTCACGAAATAAAGAAATGTGATAGCAAACGTCGTTGTTCGAAGTGCAATAAGGCACATCATACATTGTTGCATCGGGAAGATTTTACATTGGGTAATTCGACTCCAACTTCCACTGTGACATCTAATGTCCCTCAAAATTCGAGTTCCAGTCCATCTAGTTCGGGAAATTGTGCAACATCAACTGGATGTATACCCCGCCAGGTGTTCCACACCGCACAGAACAAATCTGTACTTTTAGGTATGGCGGTGGTGAATATCGTTCACCAAGGAGTTTTGTATCCTGCTAGGGCGCTAATAGATCCTGCGTCAGAGTCCTCTTTTATTTCAGAGCGACTCCAAAATCGATTGAAGCTTCCCGCATCCCCTGCTAAGGCTGTTGTATCAGGAGTTAGTGGTTCGCTTTCGGCTACTGCTAATAAAAGTTGTCGTATACAAATTAGCAGTCCACTCGATAATTCTCCAACATTAGAAACAAGTGTGTTAGTGTTGCCTACTATATCAGAAAATCTTCCGTCATTTGTGACCAATTCAGACTTGAGGCCCCAAATCCCCGACCTTCGCTTGGCAGATGTCAATCTTTTCGAACCTCGTCCCGTAGATCTGTTGTTAGGAGCCGATATTTACCCCAATATTGTTTTAGATGGTTGTCGTTCGATTTTGTCTGGAGCTTTACTGGCTCAAAACTCAGTGTTCGGCTGGCTTGTCACGGGTCCTATACCAGCAGCGCAGGACCACCAATAATAGATCATTTGTCGATGATGATTAACTTTTAACAGCTACTGAGGCTGATTGGAAAAGTTTTTGTCCGATGTCGCACAGTTCTGACGAAATAGTCGCGTCGAAGCCAAGACATTCTCTTATTTGGGCCCCCTTTGTTAGCACCGCCTGAACCTCTCATCACAGAGCAACCATTAAGCTTAGTTAATCGGTTTAGAAAAGTTCAGGCCCTCGCCCACCAGTTTAGTTTGAGGTGGAAAGAGGAATATTTGAAACATTTACACATGAGGTATAAATGGAAATTTCCAGAGCGCGAGTTAGCCATAGTCGATCTAGTTGTTGTTCGTCATGATCAGCTTCCGCCAACGTCGTGGAAATTAGGCCGTGTCGTAAATGTTCATCCGGGAACTGACGGTCACGTACGAGTCGCGGACGTCCGAACCGAGAACGGCGTTGTAAGACGGCCCATCGCCAAGTTGGTCGTTCTGGCCGACGACCCTTCGATAAGTAATTAAAATGGTTCTCTTCTCGTTATATAGTATGTCGATGAAATTGTACACGGAAGACGAACTCTTGAATGTTGATGACGTCAACGCTACCCCGGATTGTCCCCCAACTGATACTACTTTGTCCTCTGCTGCCGTAGAAGCAGCCCTGGTGGAACCAATTGCTGCTGTGACAATATCTGAGCCTGGGTCCGAATCCAAACGGGATTCATCTGCTGCCCTCGCATCTGCTGAACCAATGCAAACCGAGTCCGAATCCATATCTGTGGATTCATCTGCGGCTCCGGTCCCTGCCAATAACCCCCAAATTGAAAAATCGCGAACCGAGTCCGGATCTTCGGGTCCATCTGCGGCTCCGGTTGCCACTCCTCACTCGTTGGAGGAGTCGGCCAAATTTAGTAGGTCCGAATCCCCTCGGGATTCATCTGCGGCCTCCCATAAATGTCGCCTTTGTGACCGCATGCACCCTTTGGATAGATGTAGCGATTTCCGCGTCATGAATGTTGACATGCGTCGTAGAGTTGTTCTTAAATTTAATGATTGCATACGGTGTTTAGCGAAATCCCATCAAGCCAGGGACTGTCAAAGTAAAAGAAAGTGTGCCGTATGCAACGAAGATCACCACACTCTTCTTCACGTTGATTCGAAGACCGTGGTTAAACCCACAAGTAATAGTCGGCGTCGTCCGCATACGGATTATAGGCACCGTTCGCGTCATAGTCCATATTATCGTCCGACTGAAAATGCTTCCCCCTCGCAGGTAGGACTGGTCGGCTTGTTGTCCCTCCAGTCTGGTATCTGCATTTCCCCGACTTTGTTAGTCAAAGTTGATGCTTTTGGCCGTCCCTCTATCGCGAGGGCGGTATTGGACCAATGTAGTAGGCAGAGTCAGATATGCTCCTCTCTGGTGCATAGTCTTCGTATCCCTACTTCAAGAATCGATGGTAGCCAAATATGTAGGCTTAGTCTCACCTCGATATACGACCGGAGTCAGTCCTTGTCAATTGTGGCAGTGGTGACCCATCTGGACCATGCGCGTACGCCTACAGCGGCAATCCCAGAGCGCATAAAAGACTCCTTTCTTGGTCTTCCTTTGGCAGATCCTGATTTTAATAGGCCTGGTCGGGTGGCCCTGGTACTCGGGCCGGAAGTCTATGCCAGGGTCGTAACACATCGGGTGCATGCGACGCCAGGGTTACCGATAGCCCACTACACCATATTTGGTTGGGTATTGTCGGGCATATGTAACATATAGTGTTACACAATGTTTTTTGAAAAAATGATGAATTGAAAAATAAAGAAATAAAGAATTGAATTGGAAAAAAAAAGAAAAGAAAAAAAAAGAAATGGAACTATGTATTGTATTTTAGTTACAACATCCCAATATGTTGCAAGGTGGGCGGCATGTTTAATTTAGATTGAAAATTATTGGTTTGCAACGTTAACAATGGGTTAACATCTAATTATTTGTAAATGATTAACATCGTTGAAATCTGTCAATGTCAACAGATTTCAACGAGTGGCGAATGGCGCCAACGCCGACTTACTTCATGTTGGGATCGTTGTTTTGTTGTTATTAAACACTCCTCTTCTTCTATCGCGTCGATACGAACGAAGGCTCTCCCCCGCTATTGTGCAAATTAAGGTAATATTGTTTACCAACTCCTTTTTTATTTATTATCAATAAAGCCTGGCCTTTGACTTATTTTATCTCTTAAAACTAACCCCGCTATTGTGTTTTTATTTATTCTATTTTGTTTGGTTTGCTTTGCATATTCCCCCTTTACCCCGCATTGACGCAAACACTATCTTTCATCTTTAAATAACTAAATGAAAATGGGTGCTATAACCCCCGAAATGTCAATATTTAAGGAGTTATGGCCATTTTAAAGTGTACTATCTTTCATCTTTAAATAACTAAATGAAAATGGGTGCTATAACCCCCGAAATGTCAATATTTATTACCTATTACCGTTCTAAAATAAACTGAATGAAAAAGCATGCTAAAAACCCCGAAATGTCAATATTTAAGGAGTTATGGCCATTTTAAAGTATACTATCTTTCATCTTTAAATAACTAAATGAAAATGAGTGCTATAACCCCCGAAATGTCAATATTTAGGGAGCTATTACCGTTCTAAAATAAACTGAATGAAAAAGCATGCTAAAAACCCCGAAATGTCAATATTTAAGGAGTTATGGCCATTTTAAAGTATACTATCTTTCATCTTTAAATAACTAAATGAAAATGGGCGCTATAACCCCCGAAATGTCAATATTTAAGGAGTTATGGCCATTTTAAAGTATACTATCTTTCATCTTTAAATAACTAAATGAAAATGGGTGCTATAACCCCCGAAATGTCAATATTTAGGGAGCTATTACCGTTCTAAAATAAACTGAATGAAAAAGCATGCTAAAAACCCCGAAATGTCAATATTTAAGGAGTTATGGCCATTTTAAAGTATACTATCTTTCATCTTTAAATAACTAAATGAAAATGGGTGCTATAACCCCCGAAATGTCAATATTTAGGGAGCTATTACCGTTCTAAAATAAACTGAATGAAAAAGCATGCTAAAAACCCCGAAATGTCAATATTTAAGGAGTTATGGCCATTTTAAAGTATACTATCTTTCATCTTTAAATAACTAAATGAAAATGGGCGCTATAACCCCCGAAATGTCAATATTTAAGGAGTTATGGCCATTTTAAAGTATACTATCTTTCATCTTTAAATAACTAAATGAAAATGGGGCTATAACCCCCGAAATGTCAATATTTAGGGAGCTATTACCGTTCTAAAATAAACTGAATGAAAAAGCATGCTAAAAACCCCGAATTGTCAATATTTAAGGAGTTATGGCCATTTTAAAGTATACTATCTTTCATCTTTAAATAACTAAATGAAAAAGGGTGCTATAACCCCCGAAATGTCAATATTTAGGGAGCTATTACCGTTCTAAAATAAACTGAATGAAAAAGCATGCTAAAAACCCCGAAATGTCAATATTTAAGGAGTTATGGCCATTTTAAAGTATACTATCTTTCATCTTTAAATAACTAAATGAAAAAGGGTGCCAGAACCCCCGAAATGTCAATATTTAGGGAGCTATTACCGTTCTAAAATAAACTGAATGAAAAAGCATGCTAAAAACCCCGAAATGTCAATATTTAAGGAGTTATGGCCATTTTAAAGTATACTATCTTTCATCTTTAAATAACTAAATGAAAATGAGTGCTATAACCCCCGAAATATCAATATTTAAGGAGTTATGGCCATTTTAAAGTATACTATCTTTCATCTTTAAATAACTAAATGAAAATGGGTGCTATAACCCCCGAAATGTCAATATTTAGGGAGTTATGGCCATTTTAAAGTATACTATCTTTCATCTTTAAATAACTAAATGAAAATGGGTGCTATAACCCCCGAAATGTCAATATTTAAGGAGTTATGGCCATTTTAAAGTGTACTATCTTTCATCTTTAAATAACTAAATGAAAAAGGGTGCTATAACCCCCGAAATGTCAATATTTAGGGAGCTAGTACCGTTCTAAAATAAACTGAATGAAAAAGCATGCTAAAAACCCCGAAATGTCAATATTTAAGGAGTTATGGCCATTTTAAAGTATACTATCTTTCATCTTTAAATAACTAAATGAAAAAGGGTGCCAGAACCCCCGAAATGTCAATATTTAGGGAGCTATTACCGTTCTAAAATAAGCTGAATGAAAAAGCATGCTAAAAACCCCGAAATGTCAATATTTAAGGAGTTATGGCCATTTTAAAGTATACTATCTTTCATCTTTAAATAACTAAATGAAAATGAGTGCTATAACCCCCGAAATGTCAATATTTAAGGAGTTATGGCCATTTTAAAGTATACTATCTTTCATCTTTAAATAACTAAATCAAAATGGGTGCTATAACCCCTGAAATGTCAATATTTAAGGAGTTATGGCCATTTTAAAGTATACTATCTTTCATCTTTAAATAACTAAATGAAAATGGGGCTATAACACCCGAAATGTCAATATATAGGGAGCTATTACCGTTCTAAAATAAACTGAATGAAAAAGCATGCTAAAAACCCCGAAATGTCAATATTTAAGGAGTTATGGCCATTTTAAAGTATACTATCTTTCATCTTTAAATAACTAAATGAAAATGAGTGCTATAACCCCCGAAATGTCAATATTTAGGGAGTTATGGCCATTTTAAAGTATACTATCTTTCATCTTTAAATAACTAAATGAAAAAGGGTGCCAGAACCCCCGAAATGTCAATATTTAGGGAGCTATTACCGTTCTAAAATAAACTGAATGAAAAAGCATGCTAAAAACCCCGAAATGTCAATATTTAAGGAGTTATGGCCATTTTAAAGTATACTATCTTTCATCTTTAAATAACTAAATGAAAAAGGGTGCTATAACCCCCGAAATGTCAATATTTAGGGAGCTATTACCGTTCTAAAATAAACTGAATGAAAAAGCATGCTAAAAACCCCGAAATGT